AATTAATGGGGAAAAATTTTTAAATGAACAATGTGACCAGTAAGATGGCCACAGGATATCAAACCCAAGACTCTCTGCACAGAGTCCACATCTAGGGGTCTCTCAGATCGAATCTGCTAGGAGGCTAACTGAGTTACTGCAGACAGGTGCCCACTCTGCAAGGGAAGGAGACAGAAGCTCAGCAGATGCCTACTCCACACGAGCACCTGCAAAAAGGGGTGCTTCCATAGCCTCAGCTGCTTTAATCCATGTACGGGGCCTTCTGGGAACCCTCCCCTACAAGAACCCCTGGTCACGCCCATGTCCTCACTGTTTATTCTCTTCATGGCACTGTCGCCACCTGCCATATTACACATTTTTGTTCAGGGCCTGCCACAGATTAGGCGCTCACCAAGTACTGAAGAAAGACATGAACAAGACTATCTGCTTTTCTGTAAGACAAGGAAACCGAGGCTCAGAGAGGTTAAATAAAGTGCCCAAGATCAAACATTTGGCCAACAGCATGGCAGGGATTCAAACCAGGTCTGTCAGACACCCAAAGCTCCTGTCCTTTCCAGTACATCCCACTGCCTGATTTCTAAGGAAATGTTAGCTGCTACCATTATCAAACATCGGGATTAAATACCTTTCTCTGCACAACAAGGAAATCTTCTCTGCAGTGCATTTAGTTTATTCTTTCCCATAAACGAAGGCACAGAGAGGCTCTCTGAAAAAGAAGGCTGTCTTGACCTCCAAAAATAAGACATTCCCATTTCATTATTACTAATCACTTTTGCCACACTGGAAATCTAAAATTAGAACTGACTTACATTGCTGGACGCTTCAGAAAAGATATTCCACACCTGTTCCAGAAGAGATTCATTATGAACTTTTAAACTGTTCTTCATCCAATTCTGTAAGGAACAAAAAGAAGGAAGAAAAAAAAAAACAAAAAACAAAACAAAAAACTTGTTCCATTTTGACAGGTACATGCATGCTCAGTTACCAGTGGGCCACACATCCCCTCCACTCAGGGAAGACACAGCAAATCCATACCTGAAATTTTGCCTTTTTCCTGGGAACGTTGTCAAAACCACTAATTTGCTCTAAAAGTTCTTTCACTTTGGGGCTGACATTGGGTCTTTTTATTAATTCATTAATTTTCTACAAAAAGGGAAGATAAAGCAAAAGTAATAAACAACTGGCACAGGAGTTTCATGAAAGCCAAATTAAGTATCCTTTCCCATGGCTAGAGGTTTCTCATCCCAAGGCTAGATTTTATTTTCATGTCTATGCTTATAAATTCACCACAGTACTAAAAGTCCTAACCGGAGCAATTAGGCAAGATAAAGAAATAAAAGCATCCAAATTAGAAAGAAGTAAAATCAATTCTTCATAAATGATTTGTCTTATGTGCAGAATGCCCTAAAGATTCTATTAAAAAAAAAAATCCCATTAGAACCAATAAATTCAGCAGTCACAGGATGCAAAATCCACACTTGAAAATTAAGTTCTAGATTTCTAGACACTAACAGACACTCTGAGAATGAAATCAAGAAATTAAGTCCATTTACAATAGCAACAAAAAGAATGAAATAAACTTAATCATTAAGGAGGGGAAAGACTTATATGCTGAAAACTATGAACATCATTTAAGAATCTAAACAAGACACAAACAGGGGTTCCTGGCTGGCTCAGTAGGAGGAGCATGTGACTCTTGATCTCAGGGTTGTGAGTTCAAGCCCCATGCTGGATGTACAGCTTTCTTAAAAAATAAAACTTAAAAAAATGATTTAAAAAAGAAAAAGAAAAAAGTCACAAATAAATGGAAAGACATTGTGTTGCGGGTTGAAAGACTTAATATTAAGATGGCATTACCAACCAAAGTGAGGTATAGGTTCAGATGCAAGCCTATGAAAATCCAATTGACATTTGTGGGGTTTTTTTTTTTTTTTTTTGCAGAAATAGAAAACTCCACCCTAAAATTCACATGGAATCTGAAGGGACACCAAATAGCTACAATAGTCTTGAAAAAGAAAAAGCTGGAGGTCTCATGCTTTCTGATTTCCAAGCCCATCGTAAAGCTAGAATAATCACAAATGCATGGCACTGGCATAAGGATGGCCACGTCAACAAGAGCCAAAGGGCAAATAGTGTACGAAGTCCCTAGAGTAGTCAGATTCAGAGAGAGAGAAAGCAGAATGGTAGGTGTCAGGGGCTGGGGGAGGAGGGGACATGAACAGTTAGTGTTTGACAGGACCAGAGTTTCAGTTGGGGAAGATGAAAACATTCTAGAGATGGACGGTGGTGCTGGTTGCACAGCAGTGTGAAATGTACTTAATTGTGTACTTAAAAATGGTTAAAGTGGTCAATGCTAGGTCTTATGTAACTTACAATTTTCTAGAAACTTGGAAAAAAAAAAGCCAAAAGTGATCTAAAGACTGAGACAAAAATGGCTATTACAGACTAGGAAATTACCTGAGGACCAAGACAACAAGCGATTGTCTAGATCTATTAAATCTGAAATGGCAAGAAAAGAACAGGGATGAAAATTAAATTAGTGACCTAGGAAAATGCTTATGGCAATCTGAGTGAAGGCAGAGGAAAAAGATAGCTATTCAAATGAGAGCAATGATAGCACACAAGAAAGATGGTCACTCATGAGCCAACAGGACAAATCAACACAGCATAATGCAGGATAATGTCCTTACATTAGGAAAGAAAGCTACATATAAACACACCAGAAAAAATGGGTACAGGAGACTAAGAGGAGGATGAGACAAAGATTTTCTAGGCTCTCAGAAAAACCAATCAAGACAATGACGCAAGGTGGAATAGGAAGAAGTCAAGCTGGCTGGGCACTGGCCACGTAGTGTCACAAGAGAACAGGGCACTGGGGACAAAGCTCAGAGGAAAACACTGTGACCCCAGCAAGCAGGCGCTCTCTCTCTGAGCCATCTATCCACTCTGTGTGTGAGCACAGAGAACTCTAGAAGGATGCTCCAAGAACGTTAATACTGACAGGATTCCAAAATTCTGTCTTTAAAACTGAAGGGGTTTAAGGATTTTTTAAAAAGTACAACCCCCCACCCCGCCCCGAGTCCAGCTGTCAGAGAGGTCACAGCCAGCTCATTCATTCTCCCAGTACACTCATCCATCTGTTCACACAGCCAGCTAGGGGCTCAGGGAGGAATCCGATGACTGGTGGGCAGGTGGACCAGGACGGAAGCTGGCGGACAGCTCTTGATCTAGAATCCAGTGACAGTGCTACTGAAGTCAGACAGTTTACAGCAGGCCCAGCAAACCTTTTCTGTGAAGGGCCAGGTAGTCAAGATGTTAGGCTTTGAGGACCACCTGGTTTCTGTCCCAACTACTCAGTGCTGCCCTGGTAGCTCTAGGTAACAACAGACAACATGTAAACCAGCGGGCTGCAGGCTGCAGACCCTGCCTTCAGAAGATTTCCTTCAAGACACAGAGGAACTCCTCCACCCAGGTAATGCAAGCTCCGGGCCTAGAATGTCTTTTTTGTTTCTTGAGGGGGAATCAAGATTCAGTATGAGCCCAAAAGTGAGCCTGATGGTCTCCGGCCTAAATATCTTTGTTAAAAAACGGAGTTTCACTGGCTTCTTAGTCTGCACCGGGCACCGAGTTAGTCCTTTGTGAATGGAGGATTTTCCCTCCCAGAAGTCTGAAAACTCATATTTAAACTCTAACACCAAAGGGAGTTAACTATTATTTGTTTGGTTTCTAGGAGAATAGAGAATTTCCATAAAGACGGCATTTATCTTTTCTTTCTCCTACCTTCTATTCTGAATCTTTCCTGCTATGCATTCTGTAAACGGGGGGTACCATTCTGGAAGCTGTACCTCTCAGTGAATTAGGAATTTTGCTGCGTTTGCCATTTTTACTGTGCATGTTTCCATTTTATTTAAATGGAAAATTCCTTGTGTTTATGAAAATATCTTTATTTTGCTCGATTCTGGTGACTGATAGATATGGCAGATTACAACACAGTTTGAGTGATAAGAGCTGAATTATCACCAGAAGCAGATAAAGATTAGAAAGCATCCATTCAGTCTCATAGCCGAGGGAAAAATAGTGAGAATTCTAAAACCCTTTTTTGCAAGAAGTCTGCAAAACATGGGATTAAAGACAAATTACACTGCAACTGTATTAACAGAGAAATAAGAACTCCTCGTCATGATTTATTGTTCAACCTCAACCTGTCCCAAGACAATGTTTGTGTGTCTTGGCTGCATATATGATGCACTTGTTCTTAGGCTTCCAGAGAAAATGGAAGATGTCAGAAGAAGCTACCTGATGAATTAGAAAGACCTTACCTGAATCCACGCCTGCTGTTTAATATCGCCTTTGTGGGTTTTACCTTCATAACCTTTGCCACCATACTTCTGTTCTTCACTGATGCACTTCACATGGTTTTTGTAGTCATCGCCCCTTCAAAGAGATAGAAAGTTCTGCCTTCAGATGGATTCTCCAACTGGAGGCTCTATCTGATGCTCGTAGCTGCTCAGACCTCCTGCACTCCACAGTTCTCCTATGCTTATCACCTCCTTCCTCCAGATTGTTCAGTATAAAGCCCACCCCCAAACTTCCTACCCATTTTTATACAGATGTCTCCCACTGACAGGGAGTATTTTTTTTTTTTTTTTGGTCATAAGTATGTATATAGTAGGTCAGCACTAATTCATTATAGAGTAAGTTAAAAGTTGGAGTAAAATAGTGGAATCTTATCCCTAAAAAGTTCTAGATCTGCAAGTCTTGGCAAACAAGGAGACTTGATTCTGTCTCCTACAATCATTTTGAAGCTCTGCAGGATCCTTGGGGAAATGTCTGGGACCAGGTTGGGGGCAAGGTCCCCCAATGAGAAACAACCCTATTTTCACCTGCTTTATAGATCAGGCTTCCTCCCAGCATTAGTTATGAACAAAGTCTTTAGCAGTTTCCAAAAACTACTTTTAAAAAAATCACTGCTCTAAAATGAAAGTAAAATGGATTTTTAGCAGATGGCTTCCAAACACCGCAGAGGACACTGAGGCCGACGCACCAAAAGCCGCCTTTGCACTTAAACTGTGTGAAGCTCAAGGGGACTCAGCAGAAGACTGAGGTGAGGCATCTGCAAATAATGACCCACCTCAGGAAAGAGTAGGTAAGCAAGTCAGAGATCTGTCCTGTGCCTACCCCCAGTCCTCACCTTTCCCAAGACCCCTCACAGTGAAAATACCTGACACACTAGGGGGCCAGGAGCTCACCTCTACCATCACCCATGAACTTCTGGGGGAGCCCAGTCTTCCCCCGGCCCCCACTGTGAATGAGTCAACTCTTTTTCTGGTTTATAAGTCCCACTCCTCAGCATGACCGGCGCACTGTGCTCCTAAAGCCTTACTTTTCACCTCTCAGGGTCTCCTAACGGTGGCAAGGAGGTGTCGCTGAGTGCCACCGATGGACCAAATGCTCCAAACATCCTCATCTTCCCCCCGCCCCCTTGTCTTCTCTTTGGACTGTCCTTAGAAAACAAGCCATAAAGCACTTTTTTTCCCTTAATTTCTTTCCTCAAACTTACCTCTATTTTTTTTTTTTTTCTTAAGGCTTCATGGGGCCAGGGCTTCTAAAACTCGTCTGGACCTTTAATATGATCTTCAAGAATTGTGTAGAACTTACCAGAAATCTTTACCGCAGTCAATGCAAGACAGGCATTCACAGTTTCTGCAAATAGCCACATGTTTTTCTACTTGTACTTTCTTCACTGATTCACCACATGCATTGCACGTAAAAAATACCATTTTTAGCTAAATGGTTATGTATTCTCTATACAAGCTAGGTTTGAAGTCTAGTCCTAAAAGAAAATTAAAAGAAAGGAAAAAATAAATATCACTGTAATCTGAAACTTCTGTTCCCAATAAAGAATCATACAGCTCACTTTTCAACCATAATTTCATATGAAAATAGCTACAAAGAACAGAATCGAAGTTGATTAGCAAACTGCATAAAACTCTACCAGCATGTAAGTAAAGTTATAACTAACAGTAAGGGTGTCTGACATTTGTTAAGCATGCTCACCATGTGAGGGCCTGTTCTAAGAGTTTTATACATATTAACCTATTTAATCCTCACAGCAACCTTGGAGGGAAGGACTGTTACTGTGTACAATTTACATGGCGAATGGAAACAGAGAGATTAAGTTACTTCTCCAAGGTCACAAAGTAGCAGACCCAGGATTTAATTTTGGTAGGCTGGCTCCAGGGAAGAAGTTTTAGGGACATTAAGCAAAATGTCTTACATTTTCTAATGGAAAGCTTGCTTGCCCCCCCCCCACCATGCCTTTAGATGTGAATTGCCAAATTATTTCAGAACATAGTGAGGGGGGAATTCAGGAGGGATTAGAAAATGAAGAGGTGTAAACATTTCTTAAAACACAGAAAACATTCATATAGACGTGACTACATACCCACAGGTGTTAGCTCTGAGGATGTACCCTCAGTTTTAGTGCACAGGGAGTAGGTGAGGGAGGGGCCTCCTTCATGTGGCTTCTTATTGGATCAATAAAGAAGTGGAACCATGTATCAAGGTGTCCCAGCTGCTGGGCACTGAATTACTGGAGGGCATTCACAGACCCAGGGGTCCCAAGCACTGCCCCGAGATTTAGTATGTCTGTTGCAAATACATAACTACCATTTACAGATTTCACGCAGACACTACCGTGCTCAACAAAACAAATTCATCCAAAAGTGTTACAGGAGTCGCAGTAACTTTCCATGGCTACATAGTTTTTTAATCACTACATCCTCCAAGAATATTGTTATTTTGCATTATAAATTTCACAGCAAAAATACTGACAACTGTTTGACCCAGCATATTCTTCCTATTTATAAAGGCAAGGGTAAGGGTCAAGTAAACTAGTGCACTCTGATTCACACAGAAATCCTTCACAGATGAGCAGCGGGGTTCACAAGAGAATTTCCATGCATGAAATCACCCTCTCTTCCACTACCATGTTCTCGGTCACTGCCAGGTCACATATAAGGAAGTTTCAGGGCTGTTCCCTTCCATTCAGCCTTGAATGGAAATGTACATCCTGGCTGCAACCCCAGGGTTTACAAAGGCCCAGCCGATGCCCGTGGAAGCCTCTTGCCCGTTGGACATCAGCTTGCCTAATACACTACACGCAAAGGCAGGTCCCTGGCTCTGGGTTCCCCTGCGCAGCTTGCCATCAGTGTGGCCTGGCAAGGGAGGGACCGTGGTCAGCCACAGCCTCGCACCCAATCCAGACGGAAGCAAACCTGATTGTTCTTGGATGTGAGGCAACCATGACCATCTTCTCATCTGGTTATCGTAAAGACGTGCCAACCAGTCACAAGTCCTAGGGAGCTGCCATCAAGTGGACTGGGACCCTGCTCCCCCCGACCCTGGCATTCTGTAGATAGCAGATGGATGCTCAATGGCAGGCAATGAGATCATGGGCCACTTAGCCTCACAAGGGGAAAACAAAGGCCAGAACAAGAACCAACACGTTATTCAATAGTCCATGGAGGCACTTTTGTGTAAGGACCAGTGCAAATCGTTAGTCACCAAGAAATGGATGGCCTTTATGACCACACGGTACAAGCAGCTGCATCCAGCCAAATTATCTGCTGAAAATTTTAAAAATACTTTCATTATGAAATCCAACAATGAAAAATACCCCCTCAAACTTAAGCTATGGCCTAGAGCTTTCTGACTTTCACTGCAGAGGTCCATTCTGTTTCTCAATCGAGGGGATGAGGGGAGGGGAAAAGGTTTCAGCAAGCTTTGAGATCCAACTGAAAGACTCAGCCTGTCACTGAAGGTCAGGAATTAGAGGCCCAGGGAGGTTAGCTGGAAACAAAATGTATCAACTGAAAGAAGCCAGTGATGTTGACAAAAAAGATGCTTGGAGTATCTGTGCAAAACACGTTATCTCTCTAGGGATTAGCCACACACCAAGTAAACATCAGTTCAGAAGAGGATTAGAATTTGGTCATGTGTCCCATTGGAAAACTACCCCTTCCACTCTTTTAATTTGGTCTTTTGTGGCAAATGTTCACATCTAGAAATTTGGGGGGGGGGGGCTGCCAAGCAGAATGGGTAGCTTGCAGGGAAAGTCACAGTTCAGTCTCTCAGTGCCTCAGATCTCCAGAGCCACCCGTGCATTTTTATACTTGCTCTCAAATGGGGACGGTGTGGCCACCCACTTGTTAATGAGATAAGGTTTGTAAGGAGCTTACCCCTCCCTTTTAGAGCTCTGAGGATACCTCAGCACTAGCCAGAGTCACCTTGATCAAGCCTCAGATCTGAACACCTTTCCTGTATGCAGTAAACACCTGTGGGGGGCGGGGGGACAGCACCATGCAGTGGGCCTAATGGCCCAAGTCTTAGAGCAGGCTTAACAAAGGCAGAAGCATAAATGCTACAAGCTTACAAAAAGGCACCTTCTAAAAAGTCAGTCCCTCTAATGGAAGGTAGCAAGCACTGCCTAGAACAAAAAAAGAAGCTTACTCAGATTTCACAAAAGTAAGTAAACGTGAAAGAACTTCTAATAAACTTTCAAATGGATATTTTTGGTAAATTTGTGACATTTACACTTCAGACATTTGGAAAGCTGGAAACAAGCTAAATTAAGACTTCTAGGACACTCTCTCCACAAGGCTTAGATATTATGTATTTCAACCTGTAGTCCCAAGTGTAAAGACACAATAGCATTTTTATGGGGTTGAGCCTAAATAAGGATCCCCATTTTCGTTCCCTGGCTCCCCAACTCTCTGTGCTCGAGGCCAGGTCCCGATACAGCCACAGAGATTCTATGTGCTCTTCCTTCTAGAGATGTGGACACATGAAAAGAGAAAGCAAGTGTTTGTGGACCGGTCAAGAGCATACTCGGGTTCTCACCCCCCCGTTAAGTCACTGTAATTCATTTTGGCAGACCTTTGGTCAATGCCCGGGGTGCACTGGGATCCAGATACACCTGGGAGCCTTCCCCAAAGGAGACCAGTCACATTGTGTGAGCTTCCGGGTCTCTAGTCATCTGTTTGGTCAAGTTACTGAGCTCTCAGCAGAGGCCATAACCCAAGAAAAAGATAAATTACAGAATACAATCATCAGCTCTCCATAAAGCCATTTCACACTAACAATCACAACTGCACCCAACACCTCCAGAACAGGTGTGATCATGCCACCACCCCGGCATCTGTAAGAGAAAACGGAGGCTCAGAGAGGTTAAGTCATTAGGCTGGAGACACAGGGAATGGCACAGTTGGCCTGTGACAAGCCCAAGCTTCTGCCCTGCCTTGTCATCTTGACTTGTCATGTTTGTGGCCATTTGCTTGGCCATTATTCAGCATGTGGGACCCTGAGACCCTCATCCCAAAAGAAAAACAAGAATAAGAACAACAACAACAAGGCTCTACAGTGACCTTCCATTTTATACTGTAAGGATTCTGAAGGTACCCCACACACTGAGCAAGGATACCACCCAGCTGAAGATATCAGGTGATGGAAAATGAGGCTGAGTTGAGGGGAACAGATGGCAACAACAGGGGCTGGGAACTTGTGAGGGACGTGGGGCACCTCAGACTCCTCTTATCAGGGTGGTGGCCCAGTTCTGTTGAATGTTCTGGCGACTCAGGGCCAGAGATCTGAGAGGGAGCCTGCATCTGCCAATGAAAAATGACCTCAAGCTACCTTAACTTTCCAGATTCTGTTCACCTATAAAATGGGTCTAATACCTATCTTAGAGCACTGTGTGGAAAAGAAGAGATAGAAAGATTCATCCTTACCCAATGGTAGCATTTCTTATGACCTATTAATTTCCCTATCAATGCTATTGCACCTGATTCCCTGCTAAACCCATGTCTCTTTAAACATGACTAGCTTCATAAAATCACTCATCTATTCTGGGTCCCTGTCCCATGGGGACCTACTCTGCCACCCTGTTCCCCGATACAAAGACTTCATGTTTAGTTCTAGAATTGGGATTTCGAGTTCTCTTTAAACCTTCCTGCCTCTACATTTTTATATTGTTTATTTTTACAAAAAACTACAGTCACTACTCTTAAAACATTCTCTCACAGACATGTATGCACAGACCCAGACCCCATGACCACTGCCAAAACAGCCCACCTCGGAGGCCAGGCTGGCAATGTCAGCACAATCCCCAGTGAGCCCTGTGACCTCCAACAAGCCACTGTCCCCTCTGAAATTCTCCCATCTGTGAAACAAGGGGTCAGGAGTCCCGTCCAGGGGTAGAATTCCAAGAAACCAAGAGTATGGGACAAGGGAAGGACAGAAGAGTACACACTGTCCACCATCTTGCCCAAACCCCTGTGGGGGGTGAGGATGTTCTCCATGTGTGCTCACCCTGTGAGGCTGGCACCTCTAACTCCACTTAACACATAGGCACAGGGGGGCGGGCCAAAGTTGAGCCTTGTCTCTCCACCTCCCCATGCACTGCATCACCAGCATTCTTTCGCGGGTGTTAGCAGCTGTGGAGTCTGCCACGTGTCAGACACTATGCTAGGCACTGAGGGCCTGGGGGTTGCTGTGTGGGTCCCAAGCGAGCTCTCTGCAGGAAGTCAGCCTTGCAAGTACACCCCGCCTGTCTCCCCAGAGGCAGGTGCTGCAGAAAATCCAGACCTTCACCGGTCCAGGTG